TTTAATAAGATCTTGCCTTACTGATACCTATTTTTTCGCTATTTATGAACTGTTTGCGCTTACACAATGTGCGTGTTTTGAAACAAAAAAAACGTATCTTGTTCAATTCAGGACCTGAAAACCTGTTTGCAGTGTGCGTTTTTCCAGTACAGATGAACACAGCTATAGCAGCAGGACTTTTGGTTCCAGAAGAGAAATCTCGCTGTAGGCAAGGCAAGTTCCTACCATAGGAATGCACAGGGGAAATTACCGAAAAATTTCTAAAAATCCAGATGACTACCTCCCTTCCATATCAATAAAGTTTGCGCTTTAGATTAGTCTTCCTTCTCTTGTCAGCTTCGTTGATTATCTCGGCCTTAAATTCGAGTGAGAAGCATTTCCTTTTGTCTTTGTTGGAAGCCATCTTTTCCTCGATCCTGTTGCTTGTGCTGTCTATCGTACCGTTAGGCCTACTGTGGAACTGGTGAAGTGGATGTGTGCGTATGCCTATGACTATGAACATCAGTGATCTCAATTCAATGAATCGGGAATCACACAACACGCTCTCCCCTTCTTTTACTCTTTAGCCTAGCCTAGGCCTAGGGCTATGGCCCATGCGCTCTCATACTGAGTGTCTAAGCTACGGCACATCACTTTTAGAGTGGCTCATGTAATGCGTTCTCTCTGCATCATCTCTCTCTGCCGCTTGCCCCATCTCACTCATCAGTGGACTGGCCAATCACAACGCCCTTCCCCTCAGCTAGAGCTTGCTTGATCGCTCTCACTGTATCCGAGTTCGGGCCTTCCCTTGCCCTGATAAACCCGTGCACGGATAATATAATTGAGTTTACATAGAAAAAAAAAGGGGATTCCGGTAAGGTTCCGTTGTAGCGAGTGCAGCTATAGTCACATTCTACTGTATGCATGTCCGCTATGTGTGTGCTATACTTTAACTTTAAGTGGTCACAAGCAGCTTTTCTTGGTACACACTGTCGCTAGAGTAAGATTGTTTTATTTCCAGACACTATATAGACTGTTGTATCTACAATAAAGTGGCAAAAAAATGGTCTGAGGTGATGAGGAATAGCGTGGCAAAAATGTGGTAAAAGTGCAACTTAATGTTTAGCGCACATATAATATTAAAAACTTGAGTCAAATATGAACACATGAGATACAACATGGTAACGATAACAAATGCACTCATTATCATATATCTTTCTGAACAAACTAGATATAGTACTACACAACAGCATGTATCATCAACATGCAACAATAAGTCCTAAACCATCAGTCATTGCTTTGAGTAAATCGAGATAAATTAAAAAGTCCCACCACCCTGTCTTTGCCTGACTCAAGCCAAAATGTTTTCTTTTTCATAATTACAAATCTATTGGCAAATTTAAACAGACATACATACGACACATGGTAGGCCCTCACAACAGGAATGCCATTGTCTGTCAGTCTGATTTAGGCCCGAGTCTGGCGTAGGCCATTATTGCAGCAACGTTCCATCACATTGACATCGCATTCAGTCCAACAGTAACATGAACATAGTGAAACACTCACATAGCTAACAGATTGTCAGGTCACAAATTTTTGCTTATACGCGTACATTTTTTGCACTTAAAACACATATATAGATTTTGGCGTCCCACTGATTTCACTATGTGCCTGTTAGACTGAAAAATATGTATCACGACGCAGTGGAATCAGGTGCTCGTCAATTTTTGTGCATGTAGAGTAATTGGTATCATCTGAAAGCTGATTTATTTGCCTTGCTTTAAATAAAATAAATATCCAATTATCTTGAACAGAACTCAAAATATTTGCAATTGAAGGAAGCGATGTTGCCTGGTTTCTGTGGTGAAATTAGCGATAAGATGGTAGCCAAAGTTTGGTCTTTCCAATAGCTAAAGAGTCCTTGAAAACAGAAAAATGACATATTTTGTGCCTTTAATTAATGTTTTGGACTTTAAGCAAAACCCACGAAAGCAAAATCCCCGCATGCGAAATGAAATGTGTCCGCAAAACCCTTAACATCGCAAGACGAGACAGGCAGAGAAATGAAGAAGTAAGAGCAGCTATCGGCACTGAGTCCTGCCTGAGTTACATAGGAATACAGAGGATAAAATGGTTTGGCCACCTGTTACGAATGTCACCTGACCAGCCAGCCTCGAGAGCCTACAACACCAAGCACTCAGGCTATACTATAAAGGAAGAGGAAGGCCACGCAAAAGGTGGATCGAGGGTGTCAAGGAAACCCTAAGAAAACATAACATCACAACTGAAAGAGCTGTGGAGTTGGCCTACCATAGAAAACTGCATCTCCCCTCAACGCTTAACGGCAACAGAGGATGAAAAAGTAAAAGTAAGTAAAGTAATCAATGTTTTTCAGTAAAATTCACAGGGAAATGTGTTTTTATATGGACATAACAGAGGTTGAGCCCAAAAATAAAAATTCAATTAAAAATTTCCAGAAAAATGCCTGTTTCTCTGATATCTGTATTTTGACGAGCGCCTGATTTCACCACGCTGCCACACTTATAAGTATATGTAACGTATGTATACATATATATTTTCTCCTCAGCAGTTCACAGAAATTTTTTCCATTACAAATAGCACCAGGGTTCTACACAGTTCAAGAGCCGAGGACTCACTATCAGGTCTCACAATCCTTCTGACGGGGTACAAGATAGCAATGTGAATGACGTGAATAAAGAAACAATTTAAAACTAAATTAGAGAAAATAGCTTAGTTCACAGGGGCATGGTGGCTCTGGAAAGAGAGTCGCACTGAGAATTAGTAGGTAAAAGCACAAGAACCCATTAGACACAAAAATGTAACCTAACAATTCATCTATCAAAAGTTTCTAAACCTATTCAAATCACTATAAATATTCTATTTTGTTACGTCGGGCCACTTCTCCCGAATTCTCTCCTCGCCATCTCTGTCAAAGCTTACAAAGGTGTAGTGGATCTTGTAACTGGCATTCACACTCCCCGCCCCAACCACCTCCCATCCCCCACCTTAAGAGAGTAAGTTCAGCTTATCATTACCCTCACTGTCTGTTGATGCCACAAGATAAAACTTGAAAATCTTGTAAATAAAGCTCACATCTAGTACTAAGGTAACATAAGCTCATTATTCAAATTATTGGTCCTTCTGTAGTGCTTGAAAGACATATTATTTACATACATTCTTGCTGCAGTAAGAGCCACAAAACAAGGAAAAACTTTTGGTAGACATCCTGGGGGAGACCTTTTGTACAACACAACACAACACAACACATCAGTAAACAAGTTTCCCCCCACATCATTTGTTCTTGAAAAATGAAATTGCAGATTTTGTCATTACAACCAAAAACATGCTGCAGATGGACTATTCCCACTCTGGAAAAGCTACATGTAAACTAGTAACAAACTTGAATATACTTTTTTTTTTCAGGGCAAACCTAGGCTGAGACTGTTAGATCTACCCCAATCTGGAAGAAAAATTGAGATACTCAATAAAAATCTCCTCACTCGGCAATCGAAATCAGGCCTCCTGCCTCTGACATCTGATGATCTCTCTCTCTCTCTTGCCCTTTTTTAACTCCCAGTGGAGCATAGTCCATCAACAAAATTTCTCCAGCGAAGCCTGTCCTGTGCACCCTTTTCTAGCTGTTTCCATGATGTCCCCGCCTTTTCCATTTCCGCTTGTACCGCTCGCCTCCATGTCATCTTCCTTTCTTACGTTCTTCTTGTGGATTCCTCGTCAAAGCCTGTCTGATGATGCTTGTCGGGGGTCTCCTCAGGGTGTGCCCCAATCCATTTCCATTTCTTGATGATAGTCACAGTATAAGGAAGAGCGTTCAGCCATGCAGCTTTCCAAGCGACTACTCCCCACTACTGTGAATCGGTAAATGCCTGGATGACATCAGAGACTCTGAGAGACTTGTCTTTGGTGATTCGTTGAACAAGTACATTATGAAGCTCTTCCAGTGCAGCTGATCACTTGGCTAAATCATTAATCCCATTGGCCTATCTAGTGTTCTAGTTGTAGAGCATTCACGCATGTTGTACATCATAGGCCAAACTAAATATTACAGTCACCTCAACACCAGTGACAAACCTTTCCCCCAAAAGCGGCATTTCAAGTGAGCCATTGAAAGATTTCAGTCACCCCCAAACACATCGCTCACCAGTAATTTTCAATGTTTTTTCCCATGGTGACATTTTCCAGATGGCAAAATAAAAAATAAAACCCCCTAAAATCTTCTCCCTCACACTGCTTGTTCCTTGAATTATTTAGCTATTATTGCATTAACACATTACACCCTAAGGGCCTGGACGGGAAGTCTATTGTTAGATCCTCAGCAAGGGGAAAGAACCCACCTCCCGTGAATACTAGCCTTTAAAAAACACATTTTAAAAATACTAAACAAATTCCAAAAATCCTGAAAAAATAAAAGTTAAAAAGAAAACTGAATGTAGTTTCAGAAAAATATAACTTTATGTATGCGCAAACTGTTGGAAATGTTTTAACTTTAGTTCAATCGGGGTGTCCGACCAGTCACTCTTACTCTCAGCCTCGCGGTCGGGCCCTAGGTCTAAATTCTAGATTTTCTCTGTCTGATCAATCGGAATCGCCCCAAACTCTTCCTACAACGTTTTCATCAAAATCTGAGCTATCTGATTTGTCACATGCTCATTTTTGCTCAAATCCCTCGTTATTTCCGTTTTCGAACTCAATTGTGTCGCTTTTCAACAAGTCGAGACACTTTCGAAGTGTCGGTAACGCGATCGCACTTCGATCAGCTCTAATACTAAAACTACTGGCCCGAAAAATTTCGTTTCGGTATCAAACGAAAGAAGAAACTTTTTGCTATACTATGCAAATCAAAATCCCGGCCCCAGAGTCTCGTCAAGGCGAGACTTTCGTTTCTAAAGACGCTGGGTCGGCGCGGGCGGTTCCGGGCGAGTCAGGGTGGAGCGCGTAAGGGAATTCCCGGGCGATCCCGGGCGAGTTAGGGTGTAATGTGTTAACATGCACCTTAGCCAAAAAAACACCAAAAAAACGACGGGGAAAAAAAAAGAGAATGAAAAAAACCCGAAACAGCTGTTCATACGGTCAATAAAAATATAAGAAGTTCAATTTAACAACTGAGCACGCATCATTTCCTCCGTTTTCGTACAGGTAGTTCATCCTCAGAGCTGTCCTCGATGAACACCGGTCCTTTCTTTCCTCTGCTGCGCTGTGTGCTTCTTTGGTTCGTCCCTCTGGCGGAGCTGATGGAAAACTCTGAATCGTCATCGTCATCACTGATTACAGTGAAATCTCCACCACTGGCAGAAGGAAATGGAACAAAAAAGCATCTGTTAACGAAGACTGTTACTCGAAAGTGGCCATTTAGGGTCGAAAGATCAGTTTTTCATTAATACCAAGTTTTGTTACTTCAGACGTCACAGATTTTATTCAAATTTTTGTGATACAATAATTCATTTTTGATGTTACTTTCTGTCACATTCAGTGAGCAGAAATATTTTCCGAAATTAAAATATAGTAGGGTATTTCAAAAAAAATTTGAAAAAAAAAGAAGTTTTACTGGTAACTTTGCTGTTAAATTAAACGCATTATTAAGAGGAGAAATGTATCATTATCTGAGCCAATAATAAAGCCAATAACATATTATCTGAGAATTTTGTTTAAAGTGCGAAAATGACCAGTAGTGAAAAACCCCTAGAGATTCAGATTCCGGACTGACCGGGGCTCAGTGAGTTAAGTAGGGCCTACTTTCACAGATTCTCTCCTGTATACAGTCAAACCTGCTCTCTGAGTGGTTGGCGGGTGCTCTAGCGTGGTTTGCGCCTTCTTTCCTATAAAAAATCTGCTCTGGTGTGGTTTGCGCCTTCTTTCCTATAAAAAATCTGCTCTGGTGTGGTTGGCTTCTTCTTTCCTATAAAAAAATCTATCGTCTCTATCTCCCCTCCTTCTTTTTTAATGTTTTTTTCTTTCAGGAGTGGGTCTTCCCCTCGTTCTACTGGAATATGATAATCAATTTATTACTTGTTTTATAGATAAGTGTCTTTCCTTATAATGCACATATATGTTGCTTTGAACAAAACTTTGACCCTCTTGTAACACCTCTAATCTTCGTCGCTTATATTGGGTTGCAAGAGCCGTAAAACTCTCACTGAAACTAAACTGAACCTGCTCTACCCTGTCCAAGACAATCACCTGTGCAAACGACCACCTCGCACTTACCCCCTTGCCGTTTTTAAACATTGCAATGACAATGTCCAGGACATCCACCTGTCTAAGACAACAACTTTTCTCCTCAACAATGGACGGCTGTTTTTGGACAATTTCAACTGTATTCAAGTTTTGGGTTGATTTTTTTTTTCTGATGAGGTGAAAGTTTAAGTCACTTGCAACACAATTAGGTTATGTAAGTGCCTCAGATTATAGGTGTTACAAAAGAGAAACAAACACACACAAAATTAGCAAACCACACCAGAGCACCGACCAATTGCCAGCTCAAGTTTTGTTCAAAGCAACATATATATGTGCATTATAAGGAAAGACACTTATCTATAAAACAAGTCATAAACTGATTATCATATTCCAGTACAATGAGGAAAAAAACCCACTCCTGAAAGAAGCAACATGATCACTTACGCAGCACTTGAGTTTGAGGCAGAGGCGGACGCAAACATGTCTCGGACAGATCTGCTCCTGCTTGTATCCATGACAACAGCTGCTTTGGAGCCCCTTGAACCTCGACCGCCCCGTGACCCTCGACCTCCGCGGGACGACCTTGAGGAAGTGCTGGCATCTGTGTACGTACGAGTAAAGAGAAAACAAAAATACTGAGAAGCAAACTACACCAGACATCCTTTATCTGTTCATGCAGAACTAGAAACAATCATTAGAAGTTACAGTTTTTCATCCTGCATATTTCTTGTCCGTTTCAAAACACTTTCAGCGGATCTTACACTAAAATCATCCAAAAAAGTCTATACCGTAAAACAGGTTTGACAAAATTCCCGTCGATTATAGAAAACAGGACACCAGACATGTATCTACTGAGGTTATAATTACAGGCTCGCTCACTTCTTCGAAACCCAATCAGGGACAACCAACACTGTAGCATTAGTTTACCTGCCAATGGACACGATTACATTGGACGGGACCAGTTAGTTTTGGTGTAGTGTATAAACTCTCCTCTCAAATTCCTGACTGTAGGATTTGGGAAAGTCTCGGGAAATTCAGGACAGTTCGCTGCTGTTGAATTACAAAGTTCCATCTGCTCAGTAAATAGTTTTGAGAAATTTGACATTAAATATTTACAGTTTCACAACAAGTCAACCTTTTTTTTAATGCAATTCTTTAAATATCTTGATAAGGACTTTGAATAATCTTATGATTTTGATAGAGCAGATAGAACATTTGGTTTCTGACTTCACGGTCTTAATAACTCAAAATGGCCAAAAATGTGCGATAGAACTTTGTAATTCCAAGGTAATGAGTTAGCAAGCCTGTAATTACCTGACAGGAAAAAAAAAAGACAACTCATTACCTAAGCCGTCAGCGCCAGTATCTGCCTTGGCCCCTCGGCCGCGCCCACGGCCACGCCCCCTGCCCCCTCTTCCTCGCCCCCTGGTGGAAGAGCTGGGCCCATCCTCGTCGTCACTGTCATCAGAGAAGCCTGTCTCGTTCTCGCCATTCTCCGGCTGGGACTCACGGATAGACTTTGCTCGCTCCAGAGCAACTTTCACGTCTTCGTCTTCTTCTGTCACCTTTTTCTTCCTCTCCTCCTTAAATTTACCCAGATCTGTCTGAATCTGATCTTCATTCGAGTTCCGTGACATGAGATACCCCTGTCAAAAGGAGGGAAAGAAACGCACACACATATGATACTTAACGGGAGGAGCTACCTTTGAGGACCATTTTCTATGTTTGTTGCCCGAGATCAAATCTAAGTACACGTTATAAGTTAGACATAGTAAAATCTCTTGATACGCAATTTTATTTTGGCATAGCTACAGCGGTTGCTATGGAAATGGCCGCCATCTTGAAAATAAACCATGAATTTCAAATCCGTAAAAATTTCTTATTTACTGACTAAATTTGACCAAATTTGGTGAGAGTATACCTGAACCAGACCCTATCAGAGTAACAGCAAGTCTTTTTTCAATAAATGCAAAAGAAAAAAAACCATGAGAATTTTTCCAAAGTCTAAAAGAACTTTTTCTAAATTTAGGTTGCGTAATCACTTGATATGGAAAAGTGTGTTTTTTTTTGTGCAAATATCTTTCGGTTACATCAATGGCAGCCTTGCCATCTATGTGTCCTGAAAGTTTCATGTCAAAAGGATGAAAACTAAGGAAGGAGTAGGGAAAAAACTGCAAAAAATTACATTTTGCGAAAAACGAAAATAATTGGGAAAATTCACTATATTAATCCATCCCCATGTTTTCAAAGGCAATTTACCTGGAGAATAAAGACTTTCTCAATAGCATCCATGCTATTTTTAGACAAAAAACTGGTTGATCTTAAAAAAATCAGCCAACATAAAATTTGCATAGCCTGACCCAAAATCTGCAAAATCAAGGGTTGCGCCTCCCCTTCAGCCTTTAACTCACTGGACCTGAATTATACAACAAGCCTACGCATACCGAAACTGGCGAAACCCTGACTATCACATACCTGAAACATGCATCTTATTAGTCGATGACTATTTCAATTATTTCGTTATGCAAAGTGGTAATTTGACTGCGAGATGAACACTTCAAGAGTGGCTTCCATCAAATATCTGGTTTGTCATGGGTTCAACTTTTTAATTTTAAGCCTCACAAGAGAAGAGGGCCCTGGACTCTCAAAAGTCCTTCCATTTGAATTCAGCAGATCCAAAAATTTTCTTTTTAGTTCTAGTAAGAGTTTTACGGCACTTGCAACACAATAAGGTCATATAAGTGCCGAAGATTAGAGGTGTTACAAGAGAGTAACAAACACAAAAAACAAGGAGGAGAGATCAGGACGATAGATGTTTGATAGGAAAGAAGGAGCAAACCACACCAGAACACCCGCCAACCACCCACAAACATTTTCTAGCTTTTTCATAAGAAGCTTGAACTTATAGAAGATGCCAAGACAGCCTTAGTACATCGCGTCAACACCAATTAAAAATCTTCACATGGTAATTACAACATAAGTGAACGTGATGATGAGAGTGAGAGACTGAGCATGGAGGAAGGTGTAACAATTCCTTGTTACAATCACAAAATATACTTGAGGCCTTTTGAATTTCTAACTGTTTTAGTTAGAAAAAGGAAAGTAGATAGCTTAATACAGGGTTCCTGCCATGAACTTCCCACCAAATTCAAGGAGATTTCAAGGAGGTTTCAAGGAGAAATTTTTAAAATTCAAGGAGATTTGGTCAAGAAATTCATGACAAAAGCCTATTTTCGAAGGTCTACACTTGTCCGAAAAGAATTATATCATAGTTTCGATTTCCCTACAAAAACTGTTCGCAGGGTGACTGCCAACCCGGCTTCTCAATTTCCTGGTGGGGGCCTCATCCATTCTCCAGGGGCATGGTCCATAACAATGACAGTGCATGCTTCATTTATATATTATATATTATTATATACACAGAATGAGGTGCGCACGCACGCATGTAAGTACATTCCAGTCAGCAGCATGTCAGTGTGGCACTGGCATACTGTGACTTAGGTATTTCAGTCAGTTCTTACTTATTTATATTTTCCCCTCATCATATTCGCCTATATAAACTATATAAAAATGAATCTTGCTTTGAGCCTGAGAAAAGGCCTAGAACCAGAATATCCACGGTCAAGAACCAGTTTGGGTGTTAAAGTTTATACAATAAACGTGAAAGATAAAAATTATTACTCTAACTAAAAGTAGAGTAATAACATGAATGTCTCAAGTAGACCTATTCAGTGTGAGAGGTGTAAGAACTGTGGGAGGGCAAGACGCAGTGACACTGAAAATCTGCAAATCTTGAACAGAAAGCTCAAATATAAAATACAATACATGTCATTTTAGTTTAGTTTTTGTCATCCAGTGTTGCCTTTAACACCACCACCCCTTCCCCCGCGTGCGTCTTTTAAAAAAAATCAATAATCCCCCCATTCCCGAGTCCTATACTTCGCAGCGCTCAGACTTTGCATGTACTTTGGTGACCTCAACCATCGCGATACTCACGATGTGATGAAAATGCACAGGTTCAATGATCGGTCACGATGGCGAGCCCGACAAGAAGCTTGTATAACTTTCTTTTTTTCCCACAAGTGACAGCACAGGACAAACGATTTATTTTCATGACGACACAGCGTTTGTAATGCAGAGCCTGCATGTTACAAATGTGGCGTTATCAGACTACTATAGGCCCTACCGGCAAATTTCTAGGTGGTAACAAAAGCAAAAGTAGATCTTGATTTTTCCCGATCCGATCGAGCTTCGGTATCGCACATGACATACACTTCCACTTGTTGCCGCCATAACCGCCTGTGCTCGGGTAACGTGCTCTCGGGCCGGGGAAGGCCGAATAAATATTATATCACAATCGCGACCGGCAAAAATGAACTCAAGGATGTTATCGGATTTGGTTTTCAAATATTCGAGAACGTTTATGTATTTTCCCGGGTTTTTCACGGGGCAATTTACAGATTTCTTCAAATTCCCGTTGCATTCCGGGTCTCGGCGATTTTTTTCAAATGACCGGGTAATTCCAGGGGCCCCCGGGATTCCCGGGGCCTGGCAGTCACCCTGTACACGTGTTCCTGTCCGATCTGGCAAAATTCAAGGAGTTTTCAAGGAGATTTTTCCTTGAATGCAAATTCAAGCAGTTTTCAAGGACTCCTTGAATTCAAGGAGGCCGCGGGAACCCTGATAATAAGACTGATTGGAACAGTTAAGAAACGGTATCTCAAGTTTAGCAGTTTATCAACTACAATGAAACACCTCAGGGTTCAGAAATTTCTCCTCCACTTTGAAATGCAATATAATCTCTCTTGAAAGTTAATACTAAGAGTGGGTGGTTGGTGGGTGCACTGGTGTGGTTTGCTCCTTCTTTCCTATTAAACATCTATTGTCCTTATCTCCCCTTCTTCTTTTTTTTATGTTTGTTACTCTCCTGTAACACCTCTAATCTTCTGGCGCTCATATGACCTTATGCAGTTGCGAGTGCCGTAAAACTCTTACTAAAACTAAACAAATACTAAGACTTGTTCTTGAGAATAGAAGGATAGGTGAACCAGAAGTCCTTAACAAAATATATTAGGACTAGCTTGGCCCCCTTTCGATGAAAGGGATGACCGGTGCATTAACATCAACTGAAAGTCATTGGCCTATTATATCTACACTCTACTGGAATGGAGCAATAAATCTTGAGAGATGCAAAAAATTAGGTCTAGATCTAGATCTATACTCTCCAAACAAAATGCGCCTCGCGAAATATCACTTCCGCACCGGATTTTCTAAAATTACAGAAACGTCGGCCTATAAGAGCGAACAGCGAAATAAAGAAATTTAGCTTTTTTTAAGCAAAAACTGTCTCAAAACTGAAAAAACGAAGAGCGTCATGAGCTGGAGCATATTTTAAAGAATCTTTTGGCGAAAACCGCATGTCGATCGACGCAGCCATTAAAAAGCCTTTTGAATAGCAAAATTCGGCCACCACAAATAGATAATAGAAGAGATCACTGTGACTAAATATTTTAAAACAGCATTGTTTCACTAGGAGCACATTTTTGTGCTTTTTGCAGACATGGACAATGACAGTAAAAATTTCCTCCCGGTGAAAATTGTTAACTAGTAAGCTGGTATTGTAATAAATTTACTAAGTGTCGCAAAATTTACAGAGTAATTTAGTTCTGGGGGTAACATTGGAACTAGAATGTGTACTGAATTACACCATCATGATCTTGACTATGCAAATGTGACAGTGTTCTACATACAACACTTTACTGTACCACCACAGTATTTTTGCGAAAGTCAATTTTTTTTTTCACACAAGAGTCCATGCACAAAATTTCTTTGTCTGGCCCACAAAAATATCCTCCTGCAAAAAAAATTGTTTACAAAAATATATTTTCCATAAAATTAAATCAGGCAGAATTTTTTTTAAAAAGGGAAATAAATGATGACAGAGGGGGGAAAAAGTCACCATTACTTGACTGCATCATAGAACAAATTGTGAGGCAGCGTGGTGGAATCAGGCTCTCGTCAATTTTTGAGCATGTAGAGTTATTGGTATCATCTTAAAGCTTGTTCACTTGTCTTGAAAAAAATATCCATTCATCTTGAATAAAAGTTGAGATATTTGCGAAAGAAGGAGGTGGGGGTCACTTGTTTTCCGGGGTAAAATTAGTGAGAAAATGGCCGCCAAAGATTAGTTATTTCCTTAGCTCAAGTGTCCGTGATAACTGAAAATTTACAATTTTTGTGCCTTTAATCAACGTTTTTCAGAAAAATCCACACAGAAATGAGTTCTTTAATGGGAATGAAAGATGTTGAGCCAAAAAAAAAAATTTTTATAAAAATTCACAAATCTGCGGATACATGCAAGTTTCTTCACTTTGATTGTTTTGACGAGAGCCTGATTCCACCACGCTGCCTCACATTTAACTGAGGTATCATGCTGTCTATTCATACAATAGAAGACCACAGACTTTTTAAAAATACAAAAACTAGATGAGAACATAAAAGTGGTCCAGAATTTGACGAGCGATGGACACAGCTAGCAGTTTCCAATGTTTTACCTGCGTTTTTTGCAACTGATATTTGACAAGTTGTGAAATGGCTTCTCTCTCCTCCTTGTCCACGTACTCCTTGACGGCTTCTCCAAGCCCTTTCTCGCTCAAAAGTTTCAGCTGATTGTCCTGAAAAAGCCAAAGAAAAACATCCACCAATATAAACAATTCTGATCCCTTGTGTGAATGCTACTGCAAGTATTTCAATGCTGTTGTAGTCTTTTAGTTTAGTTTTAGTAGAGGTTTTACAGCGCTTGCAACTGCATAAGGTCATTATGAGCGCCAGGGGTGGATGTCAAAAGAGAAGTCCTAACACGGAATCAGACTTATTCTGCTCACCTCTCTAGCTTCAACAGCACAAAGTCTGCTTCGACTATTAAGGCACCTGGGAAATAGCGGGTCACAAGAGTGTGACAAACATATAAAAAAGAAGTAGAAGAAAAATGACAATAGTAAAGATTTGGAAAGAAAAAGCAGCAGTTCCCAGAGGCAGTTCAGGCACAGTTATGAGCATGACAATGATAAATCAGCCCATTTACAATTCTACTGTGAATAAGAACATGTTAATGCGTTGTAGTCCACTACTATGTCTTGTAAAGCGCACTGAATGTTGTAAATTATGGAAATGAACAATATAAATGACATTGAACAATATAAATGACATGCATTATTATCCTTATTATCTTTGAATGTCTCTGGAATGATAAGTTTCAGGAGGAGATAAATTATCATTATTGATTCCGAATCAGTTTGAAATAAAGATAAATACACATGACGAGGCAGGTCGGTTAGAGCTGAGCTACTGCATGATATACAGAAGAAAAAAATGATAGATGGAGAAAAGGTTGAGAAGTAGGACCTAAATATTCCACTCCCCAAACACTCACACTATTGACCAAGTTGCGGTAAATCAATGATGCATCCACACGCGGAAAAATAACAAGGCGGAAAAGAAAAAACTCCGAAACAGAACAGAAATTGAAGAAGACATGTCATTAAGTGGCAAACCCAAGTCACACATCTGGCCATTTACGAAGGTTACCCCTCTCCTCTCTCCATACACATCTGGCAATTTAAGTAGTGTACCTCTCTCCTCTCTCAGTACACATCTGGCTATTTTAGAAGTAGATCTCTTTCTTCTCTCTGTATACATCTCTTTTAAAAAATGTCACTCGCCTGACATTTCTTTTTTATTGGATACCCAAGGTTAAGTAAAGTTAATAAGCATTGCACTAAACCAATAAATAGTTCAGCAAACTCGGATTTGTTTGTGTAAGTTTATTGTTATTGAAGGAGGACGGACATGCGGGAAGAATCTGAAACCAACAAGAATGGCTGCATGAATTCAGGAACAATAGGGTTAACTCACTGATATCCTTCTTAGAATCACTATCACTTTCTGGACTCTGCATTTTTTCACAGGAGTTTGAAAATACGAAATATTATCACTTGTGCCCCTTCCTTTTCAAGGGAAGTAAACAAATTTAATGCAAGTACCTGTTGTATTGTAAGTGGATGAACTTGCATTTGGAAAAGACAGAAAGGGAACTGAATTAACGTATAGAGTAATTGAAAAGGTGAAATTTTTTCTCTCCAAAATGTGGAATAAGTTGTAACGAAGCAAAGCAATTTTTACGTCGCCTCACCTTGTCCAGAGCACTTGCTGCTATTAAAACTCACCGAGTTTGTACGAAATAGAAGGGAAGCAACACATGAAATGAAACATCTTCTTGAAAATTGTGACTATCTCCCTTTTACTCTGTCTTGATCTGAACTCTCCATTGCAGCAGGTTTAATTTTGGTGAATGTTTTCGTCAGGACACCTGAGTCACTCCTGCGCCAAAATGGCTGAACATCGGAAAAAACCGTTTTCTCGTCATGTTGACAAACTAGGCTTGCTGGAACTGTATGACCGCTCCGAATCACATTTTGATCTATGTCTCTGTGGCAAATGTGATCACAATGGTTGTGATGCCGTTCAACGGTATTCTCAATACCTTTCATTGAGGCACGTTTGCTCAGCGAATGAGTAAGTACTCACTTTTTACTTCACCATCTCATGTTTTCCAACTATACATCTTGTTTCAGAAATCACAAAAGGGTACACATTTTAAGACGAAATTCATTTTTAAGGATACACATGCGGTACGTGCACTAATGCAAGGTGCAAACAATTAACATTCGTTAAAAATTATGTCTCAAATGATTTTTAAACAATTTTCCTAACGTAAAATTTTGATAAAAGCAAGGTAAAAATCAGAGGATATTCAGAGAGTCAGTCCTAGAGGCAAAAACTATCCAAATTGTCTATCCACAATTCAGCGGCAGTAATGTAGTGACAACACCAGAACATTTCTACCTACCCCTTCAGCCTTGACAAAATAATCTCGCACCATGTCCTCCACTCGGTTACTGTCCAGAGTGATCGTCTTGATCTTTTCCATCATCTGTGGGTCTAGAACCCACACAGAAATAAGATAACCACAAATTTTATCTTTATACAATGGAGTCCGCTTAAACTGGACAGTCAAATTTTCTTCAGTTTATATAATAAGTTTTGCGGTATAGAGAGGTTACTCAAATAGGAAAAAATAAATCTGTGATTTCATTTTTTTCCTGTTAACCGTTGTTTTCAGATTAAGTGAACTCCACTGTAATCATCTAAACTGACATATAAAGTTATAGATTTCAAAGCAAAAACATACAAGCAGGGTAAAGAAAAAGCCGCTGCTACTGATCATAGTAGTCCATTGGAACATATATTGCCAAAATATGAATAATAGAGAAATACATAAATCAAGACTAAAAAAAAATCAATTAAGAAACTTTAAAAATGTATTTCACATAAGACGTCTGCTGTCTGAAAATATCACAGCTGTCACTCACATGAAATATAAATGTGAAGTGTGCTGACAAAATGAGTTACTTCTCAAATTTGAGCCCTATGGAAATAGATACATCACACTTATAGGTGAAGTTTTTACAATTTATAAGTATGAAATAATAGAAGGCATGTTATACTTAAAGAATATGGCATTACTAGAAAATCTACAAATTTGACTTTATTGTTGATTTTTGCCCAATATCTCCATTTGTGTCAGTATAACACCCTGTAGGTGTAGGTTCAGGTTTCCTTCACCTGGTGTGCGATCCATTGTAAGAATACTTGTGTGTCTCGTCTCTAAGGCAGAACGGTAGCTCTGATATCGCTGAGTGCTGAGCATAGCAATAGGTCAAAGGAGAGAGTATAAGTACAGCATCAGCTTGGGATATAGTGAGATTTATTTGCTGTTAAGCAATAGACAATCTGTTTAGGAAAAAAACCCGACAAAATTTAATTACCTTGTTTCACACTTGCAATTTTTTCCACTCGACCCCTCAGAAAATGGATCATAGTTTTGGGATTAGCGACATGGTCCACAAACTTTTGTCCAAGCCTGCAACAAAACAAAAGTAAATACAGTCAAAGCATGAGGAAATGAAACTCACCTTTTCAATTTATGCCCTGGAGCTAAAATACATTCTTTGTAACCCAACGGTGCTGGTCTAGTTTGAAATAAACAAGCATGTGAGCACAATTATGAGTTATGTTATTTACTGCAATGAAAACGGAAAACAGACAGCCGAAAACTGCAGAGGGATAGTGGGCATTCCCATACCACCACCAGCAACACCTCCCCACCCCCCTGAGAAGTGCAGTTTGTTCATTGAAAGCTATAGTTATATTAATGAAATACAAAAACTTATTGTATCTCAGTAGAAAGTGATGCTTGGGTTATACTGAAAATCAAACCAGTAAAAATGACAGGATCGACTATGCGGAATAGATTGACATTCTGTAGTTGACCATTTTAGAGAAAAATGTCAGTTCCACAGCATTTTCTGAAAAGATAAGAGATTGAAAACCACAGGACTTTCAGTATTTTCTTTTAAGCCCCATTTCTAGTAACAGGAATAAAGCCGCTACATCAGCGTACTCTAATATGAACCAGAGAGACACTGCACAAACGTCTTGCTAATGGGAAAGTCCGAACCTGAAAGACATGTGTCACAACTCAGTAGGTAACATGCTGGGATTTGACACAGGGGGAGCTGGTCTGAATCCTTAAAGGTTTTTTTAAAACTTGCGTTGTACGGGAGTTCGGTGACTCTGCACCTCAGTCCTTAACACTTTGCCCCCACGGGACGCCGATCGGCAATGGTAAGAAGCCATCCCTTTTCCCAGGGACGCCGATCAGTGCCGGTGTGATATAGCGTGTACCGCACCTGTATCCTGGTCCGTGGGGATAAGTGTTGCGTGCTCTGCGGGCTGCGTGGGTGGATAGTGTTAAGAATTTGGTTGTTGAAACAACTGTCCGGCCTACTAAATCAATTTCTAGTGTTGAGCAGGGTTACTGGGTACCTTTTTGTTTCTCTTACCTCTACAGAAGTTAGTAAATTCAGTTCACTTGCAAAATGTTAAAGTGGGTATTACTGCATTGGAACACATGACACTGGGCAATTCAACCATGAATTCAAAACATTTAAGAAAAACGAAACTGACAAAATGCAAAACAAAACAACAAGCGACCCCTCCCCCCTCCCCCAAAGGTACAGTTATCTCAAGAGACAGGATTTTACCTCTGAGAGCTGAAAGGTTGGAATCCTGTGTAGTCGATTCTCAAACGTATCAATGGCTGAGTGGGTTGCCTCCTACTCCCTGAGTGCTCATCCTCTGAGAGAAGAACACATTGGGGAAGTGAAAGCAGGACATACATTTGGTGGTAAGGTTAAAATAATATGCTAACCCTAACCCTCCCAAAAACTGATCTGTAAAAGGCTTATCATGACCCCTAATACAAAAAGCTTTTCAAACTATTTCACTTTTTTTCTTTGAAAAATCTATCCATCACAATCTAATTAAACCTAATTTCAAAGCAGTGAAGATCAGAACTATAAATCACAGAGCATCACGTTTTTAAATGTTTGTAAAGTCTCGACAATCAAGCTTACACAGGTACTTTTAAAATCAATGTAAAGGATGTCACAAACTTTAGATCTTTCCAAATCTTCTAGAAATACACTGGGACCCTTGAATCTAAATTTATTCGTAAGGGATGAGAAAACCTCTGAATTCTTATGCTCTGAATAGTTATTTTAAAAAAAATAATACTAAATTCCTAGCAAGTCAATCAAAATATACCTTTTAAACTTTTAACTTGGATCTTGAAAAAAAAAACCCAGTAGACTCTGGCCAACACTAAATTTTGTTTTTTTAATGACTGGCACAGCTCCCCCAAAAGTAAAGGAAAGTTCACCTGTTAAAAACATTTTTTCTCCTCTTGAGTACTCCCTGTTCAAAAGCCTTCCCGGATAAGAAGAGATTTCTTCTCAAAATGAGTATTCAGTATACTTTCATTCTCCAAGTCGGCATGACAAATGTTTTGGTCATTGAGTTTGGAGAAAGATGTGGCAGGATAAAGAACAATGCGATAAAAAAAACAAAAACAGGGAGAGAATAAAGTTAAATCAATGTATACAGTATTTGAGCATCTGCACAATTAGGATCAGAACTTATCAAGGCAAGAGCAAGCCAAGTATAGTGAAAAAGGAATAATTTTTTAAATGACATAAAAATTCTAAGAGAACAATCTTATCAAAACAATTATAAAAGGAATCATTCTTTATCACATCTCTATAATTCTCATAACACCAGGAAAATGTCCTTTCCTTCTGGCTTACAAAAGTAAAACATACAAACCATCAAGGAAAAAAACCTTACCTGCTTTTGAAATAAACTGCTCAATTTTTTCGACACAAAAATCTTCCGCTTTCTTCATGGCATCCTTGTGAGTTGGGTTGATGTGTTTAGCAAGAGAGATGTCCTCCATGTAAAACTGTCTCACTGTCTTCAGGGGAATGGACTTCATGCGGAAATCCTTCCCCTTCACCTCCAATAGGCCAACATGCTTAGGTACCATCTCACCTACAGGGAGTGAGGGAGAACATAAAATGTCTCAATTTCCAGTTCCAGTTAAAAAAACAAACTGACCTGACGGTGAAAATTGAAACTAGCCTAGTCACAATATATAAATTCAAGTGAATGGTAGATGTGTGCTTTCAAACAGCGGTGGTCTGAAAGTACAAAATGGCTGACCGACCCCACTAAGAAAAAGGACAAAATTTTAAGGACATAATAACATCCTTGAACCTGACCATTTATGCATCTCCTTTTGAAATATCTTACTCAAACTTTTCATTTGTGTGCCATTCAGTCAAACCCTTGTTATACTGACAGGACCGCCTAAATTTGCCTCACAGCACAGTCTGCGACCTTGCCACAAGAGCTACACACTGGGCATGGGCATCGCACCGAGATAATTTCCCTTTCTCAAATAAACAACTTTGCGAGCTAGCGTTTGTCGCCGATTCATTCCCTCCTCACCCATCCCACCTCCCCACCCTTGTCTCGTTGATTTCAGGCTGCATTCGTTTGACAAGTAACATCTGACTCGGCAGCAATTTCAATTTGAATTTATGTCGTTACGGCAGAACCCTCAGCCGGAAGTCACTGCTATGTGACAGAGGACAACATTAAAACCCCAGCATACTGCCAGCCTTGCTATACCAACGACATGGTTAGAATGACTATATTCAACTATATAAGCCAACAACTGAAGAAATCTATCAAATGAAATGGTAAGTAGAAATTTATACACCTTTCATCCATATCTTCAGAAAATTGTGGTGCCATATTTTTGACTTATAACTTGACTTGTGCAAGTAGTTAAATCATCTGTTTCATACACATTCCCACAAAAGGCAAAGTTCACTAACGAGTATTGAGCAGCGCATGCTGCAAACTGGCCTGTTTTCTGAGGCAGACCAAGATCACACTAAGGAAGGAATTATATGAAGTCTTTGTTTGTACATGGCGTCGATAGCCTAGTGGTTAGAGATTGCAGGTTCGGAGGTTCGAGCCGCGGGCCCGACGTTGTGTCCTTGGGAAAGGCACTTTACACGAATTTTCCTCACTTCACCCAAGTGGGAATGGGTACCCGGCCATAGACAGCGAAAGATCTTGTCAGTATGTTATTGTTTTAGCGCCTATAAATGGCCGCTTGCACTGTATGCTTCCCAGGAAGTTGAGATTGTTTCAGAATGCTCTCAGGTCTGCTGGGGTAATGGTATAGACTGTGAAGCGCATAGAGCTTGCTGTTGAGCGGGGATTTGCGCTATACAAATGCTATCTGTATTATTATCATTACATGAGTACGGTGAACCAGTTTGTCAAAACTGAAGCAGAAGAGTGGAATCACACTAAAAACCCTACATGTAGGCTACAATGTAAAGTAATGAGAATACCCCCTATTTTAAATTTACTGTTTAACATATTTCTTCCAACTCTCAATCTTTGTCACTCAATTCAGAGATTTAAGAAATACGTTAGTAGCAAAGACTATAGTAGTCCTTGGTTAGTAATAAATATCAACAAGAGAGACCAACCACCAAATTGTGCTATTGATAGATTTGGCAAATTACCAAGCATCTTGTCCTCAGGAAAGTTAAATGACTCTAAATCAAACGACCGCACACATTTTGATTTTAACTGATAAAAGAACCAGTAATACTAATACACTTTACTGGTCTAAAAAATTAACAACAAACCAAAAATAGTTTTTTTAAATTACATAGTCTTGCATGCACATAGCGAACACACACATACTGAATAGACTTTCAGGTCCTGAACTTTTTCTTACACACATATATATTCTTTGTATTTAAAAAAGGTATTTATATATAGCGAAATTCGCAAATATAACAAAAAGATTTTTGCATCCGGCTGATTTCGCTATGTGCGTGTCACACTGTATATGAAACAATAAAAGCCTAACAAAGAATCTTTAAAAAGGAGAAACCTTCACTGAGAGAAGTGGCAACACTGCTGCCTGGCTGGCAGACAAAAAGCTTTTGTGTCGGGTTCCACTCCACTTTTCCCGGACTGACATTGAGACGACATTCGTGCTCATGACCCCAGACAACGAGGTCAAGGAAATCCTCCAAGAACTGCTCGGGAATGTAGCTAGTCGCCGAGTGGCGGGCTCTGTTCTGATGCAGCACGAAGACGTTGAACCAGGAGTCCTGCTCTTCTTTAGGCCTCAGCATTGACACGTCCTTGATGATATATATGGGAAAAAAAATCAGAACAAAAAGATTGACAGTCAAAACCTGTCTTTACTCCTTCCTTGCTCCTTCCTGCTAGGTCACAGCTATATAATATAGCTATGCAATTTAAAAGCATCAGCATACAATCGAACAAAACAGAACAAACGAAAAGTCCCATTAAATAAGCCAGAGTCAAGGGAGGATACCGAAGGTCTAAACAGAGCTACTTAACCTAATTGAACAATAACCTCTTACTAAAGAAGTTCCTTGTTTCAACACAAAGGAAAACAGAAAAGAAATAGGGGGAAAAAAGCACAAAATACAAAGAAATCAGGGTGGGTTAAGAGGGTAACAAAGAGTAGAACAGCACATGCCTTAAACAAAACCCCCTCTCAAATTAAGATGATAGTGTTAGATACTGCACTTACTTCCGTGTAATCTCTCTTGCACAACTTCCTGAGGTTTTTTTTCCCTCACTCTTCTTACCATTCCAAGTCCTCCACCTTCAAAATAACCTATTATTATTTGTGCTTATAACAAACTAATACAGCATTCACTAAGCCTAAGTTCATACTAAAATGATCTTTTAAAAAAATTCTTTAGTCCTACAGCAGCATGTGCAAAGAAATCTCCTTTGAAAAAAATCATCATCATAAAAATAGAAAGAAAATGCAACAGAAGTGAACAAAGAAAGTAGCTGCTATCTTGTGAGTATATTGTATCTGAGTATAGGTAGGGGAGGGGGGGGGGGATGCCCCATTTCATACGACAAGTAATATTAAATTTTAAAATTCAAATTTGCATGGTCACCTTTTTCACAAACATTCTGTGCAGTCTTTCATCTCTGACAGAGCCCAATCCATACAGAGCAATCTTGGTACTCCCTTTTTGCAGCAAAAGAGGAGACACCTGAATCTTATCTAACGACGTGGCTTTTCCAAAGTAATTGACGAGTCCTGCAGAATGTAGCAGGTCTAATGAGCACAGATTCCCATGTCCAGTCGGGTCATCATGATTTCCATGAATTGAAAACAAGGGGATAGAAATGTTGAAGTTGGGATCCTCGTAGTTTACCGTGGGGAACCGACAATGTTTGAAATCCACCGACTGGTCGCTTAAGTACTCAAAGTGCACAGGCTTATCTCCCATGCAGTATTCCCTGAGCAGGGAGAAACACGCGTGAAGTGTTGACCTGGACGGCTTGTTCTCGTGAAACAAATCACCTCCATGTAAAATGAAATCAACCTCATGTTCTCGGGCCAGAGACAAGATCTCTTCAAATGTAACGATTGAGTCATTTCCCCGAACCGGATCGTGTTCCATGTAGCCTAAATGTATGTCTGAGGTCACGAGAATACGGAAAGTTTCAGCCATATTTTGAGCAGCCATGTTGAATTTTGTTCCACCATCCACAAGTCTACATTGACTCTGAAAAAAAAGAAGTGACATTATATCTCAACAACTGGCAGAAAAAAACAGCAGATCCTCATTTTCAGAAGACTGAACTTCACTGTAAAAAGATTTTACCTTGAACTTTAAGTAAGAGTATGGTAACATCAATAAGAGAGCAACAGCAAGAAGTCCTACTCAGTCAAATGACCATTCAATGAAATCATATTTCAGAGCCAAGACTGGCTTCCAGCTGAACAAGAATAAGAGGCCGATTTATCAACTTTGAGACCATGACATCACAAAGTTTTTCCTCTCTTTCTATGGGGTAGATCATACGACACAGGTATTGCTATTGTCATTATGATACAGCGGAACTCGGATACAACGAAAGGAGGAGGAATCCCTGTTTTTTTCTATTCAATAAAATCAATAAAAATTACTTGGATTCAACTAACACATAAATGGGCCAGCTCGGATTCAACGAAGTTGCTTGCAGGTGATGTGGCTTCGCTCATTTTACTCCCGCAAAGAACCTTATCTGTTCCTGGAAACCATTCATGGCACCTGCATCATGAACCATTACTTTTACTCATTTAGCCCAATGTTTACATCTCATGCGACCAAACAGCATCCTTCGTTCATACCAGCATGAGCACACGTGACTTATCATGTGTCAGGGTTGGGCGGGCGGCTGTGACTGTGCGTATCATGTGTGAGTGTGTGTTCGGGGAGGGGACACAGCCGCGGTTCGGGCGTGGAGCGCTAGTAGAGATACAAACACGTCAGTTTTTTTTTCTCTGGCTACTTAACAGAGTGATATAATATTACAAAGATGAGCTAGTTTTGACATACATCTACGTAATGAATTGTGCTCTGCCCCATGGAATCAAACGTTGCCATATTCTTGGCTCTACACAGCAACACAACTAGTTTGGCAAACAATATGCTATAGATGACACACATTAGAGCGAATTAGCCCTTTTGCACAATACTGTGTACTTGGTAGAATCCAGTGTATTTTCCTGGAATTGTCCAGCATTTTTTTAGGATGGCATCAAAGAAATGAAAATGCCTCTCATTTGAAACCAAACTACTTCTAACAGAGGGAGTCGAAAAGGGGTATAAAAAAAAAAAAGCAGGCATTTTAGAGTAGCCTATCTTTCGCTACTTTCCTTTATACATTACTTGCTCGACGCCTATAATTATCCACACAAAAACCTCATACTTGCTGTAACGAACACTCGGACTCAAAGCAATTAAAGGCCCGGCCCTACGACTTCCTTAAATCCAAGTTCCACTCTATATAGTTGAACCTACCTTAACGGAGACCTGTCGTAATGGAATCTCCCTACTCCCCCCTTAATAAATTCCTCTATAATTTCCCCGGTGAAACAGAAACCTGCTCAAACTGGACAGCGAAATTCCTTCCCTTCCAGAGGGATTTTACCTGTCTAAGACAGAAAATATGCTTTGTCCCCTTAGCTCTGATTTGAAACAAAACTCCTGATTTTGGTTCCATTGGCTCTAACCTTTACGCCATGCCACCAATTTTACCTAATCCATGCATGTCCTGAGTGGTGAAGAGGGTCAGGGTGATGTGATTGTGAAATCTCTTGAGTAGACCTAGAGCTTCAGCATGGAAACTTTCCTAAGTAGCCAGAGAGGTGTGAAATTAATTTGACCAATGACCAATGCCTTCCCCCCTCATTGTATGGCCAGCTGAGAAAAAAGTTCCTTGAATTGTTGTTACACACATGCATGGTAAGGGTGGCATTGGTCCACCATGCTTTACGATTTGGTGGGGACAAAGGAGATATTATAACTCATAGTTTAACCATCTCTGTTTTTTAATTGGTTAAACAATGGTGATGCAAGGACTTGGTGGCAATATACAAAAAAGTCTGGCCATTGTCAGAGAGGCAAGGGCTAGGATAGCACTTGGGAAGAGCGAAGTTTTGACCACTGCTTGCCTCTGAACCCCCTCCCCCTAAATTTCCGAGTTCAAGTCAAGAAGGATTTGTGCCATTCCGTCTTAGACAGGTTTGACTGCAATTGAAGTAGGCCTAGGCCTAGAATCTAGATCTATCATGAATTTCTCCTGAGAAAACAAGGAACCTTCTCTCCAGAACTTCACGATTGGGACTTTCCACTTCTTCTGAAAGGGGCTCTTGTGGCCTAGAGGTTAAGGTGTTGGCCTCTCATTCAAAGGTCCCGGGTTCGAATCCGGGTAGCGACCGAAAAATGTCCTTCTCTAAAATTGTCTCCTTTCAACTCCTTTCCTGCTCTCTAGCAATGTTCTGTTGTCTGCTTTCATTTCCACTTTCTGCCCCCACCCCCTCACCTCCTTTGCCCCCTCCTCTGGGCTCCTGACTCTTTCTGCAGCCTTTCTACTGCTACTCCTTGGCTCCTACTAAATGCTGTCTTTCTGCCACACCCTTGATTTTCTGGTAGGAAAGATCTACACCTAGCCTTCTCGGACAAGGGCGAAAAATCTCGGAGGGCGCGTGTGCAAGTTGCGCACGTTAAAGATCCCTTGGTGGTCTAAAATCGATAAGATAGGCTTCGGCTGCCACCCGGGCAAAATTCAAAATTTCCTACCAACTGAAAATATTAGGTGTGTCCCGCGCGCTCATGACCTTATGCAGTTGCGAGCGCCGTAAAACACTTTACAAAAAAAAAACTTCTTCTGTTGATTCTCATCTCAGATATTATAAGAAAAAGGCTATACTATCTGATAAAAAATAGAATAGAGAAGGATATGATAGGCCAAACATGGTATAATCACTACTCTATAGACCTCCTTAGCGACTAGAGTGTTAATGTTATCATCACAACATTCAACTGTACTTATTAGGCCTTTAATACTACTAGATCTAATAGTAAAAAAGTTACAGCTACATTCCAGCCTCCATCCTTTCCTTTTCGTAACCTTCTTAAATTCTAACTTCTTTACGACTTCAGGGTCTTTAGTCTTTAGTTTACCTCGTCTTCTACTCTAGTCTACTGTAGTTGTTACAGTGGAATCCTGTTATAACGAGATGGAGGGGACCGGTGCCAAATGTCTGTTATAGCAGGATTCTCGTTATAAGGGATCCAGTAATAAAATCAAGGGAAATAGTAAAGTAGGCCTAATCTATGAGTCTGGTTTTCGGTTTATTTCTTTTTGTAATCTCCCCTGATGATGATTTGGTTCAACATGACCTTTAAGCCTTACTTGATCAAAAATCGATTCAGGTTTCTTTCTCAAACGATAGCGATATTGACAGCTCGGTGTTGACGATCAGAAAGATAGTTCTCTCGGGTAACTCGTCCTCTGTGTTGTCCCCCATCCCACCACACCCTGTGGTGCATTCCGTCTCCTTGCCTTGCGCACAATGGGAACATACCACACCCCGCCCACGTCACACATTCGCTCCGTCCATCACAGTACAGCACTATGTCTATGACCTCTCCATTTCCACATCGGAGAAGTGAGAGGCATGGTTGGCCCAGATTTAATCTAGACTGGGCTGGCCTGTCACACGATATGTTCTGCTTGTCTGCGCATGCCACACTCTCCCCACTCATTCAATCCAGCCTTCATTGTTGAAACATGTGGGCTCTCCCATTCTTTGTTTCGCAAGATAACCAACAAGTTTCTCAACAGGCGAGGTTTTTACATGAATAAATGGTCTATGCACTTATGCACAGCAGCAACTTTTTTTGGGGTATAACTGACTCGCGTGTTTGTCTGATTGCGTTATATTAGTATTTTAGGAAGGACTTCCGTAACGAGCGACCACCCCATCAAACACAATAAAGAAGAGGCCTAGACCAGACCTAACCCTACCCCTACCCGAACCCCAAGCCCTCAATTAGCTGCTCTGTCTCATAGTGGTCGCTCGTTACAGAAGTCCTCCCGCATTTTATTTACAAAGATAAAAAAGGAAAAAAACGGGGTTTTAGAAAAGTGTCTTTATAACAGACTTCTCGTTATTTCAGGACTCGAATAAGTGGATTCCACTGTACTGTACAGTAGTTGAGTTGAAGTTTTGATAGTTGTGGGTGGAGATTTTTTCCAATTCTGTGGACCAGTTTGCAGTTCTCTCGCGATTAAACTCAACTGTAAAATTGGAAAAAGGGACCTCTTATTCATTACAACGTACCTTACAGTCTACCAAGTAACACCATTCTTTCCTCTGATGCCACTTGAAGTGCAAAGCGCTGAGTTGTGTCAGTTCTTTGAACTTTCGACACCTTACGCCTTACTTTCACTTTCCATTTACTCCGCGAAAACACAAGTTGAGCAATATAAAAAATGGAACTATAACTTTTACGGAGAAAAGGAACGCAAACGGGTTGAAAAGTTTGCAGGGTGGCAGGTAAACATAGAAAATGCATGAATGTCACGATTGTCTTTAAAAATTGAAAAAGCTACAAACAATCAACAAATATAGATTAAGACACTTAGTTGACGTAAGAGGTCCATAAAAACCAGCATTTCTATTCAAGTGATTTCCAACGCCCATCCCCTACCCAAATTGCATGATGTGCCAGTTCTTGTCGGTAAAAGGGGCGTACAAAAGCACAAGACTTTCTAATAACAATCAGCTGAAAAAAGCCACATAGAACACATAGACACTCATAAATAAGAAATGAAAATTAGGCCTTTTAGTGTACACAAATTCACATAACGAACAATAGTCTCATCGTAAATTTTACTACGAACTTGGGCCGTAAATATAGAACAACCCGTATACCCTAGGAAAAGCTTGCTTGTGTCAGAAAATTTATGATATAATCTAGACCCATTATTTTCAATTTTGTTTCAAAGGGAAGAAAATGATTTTCAAATAATCTTACACATGTTAACCTTTTTCTTTTTATAATTAATACTTCTTTAAGAATTTTCCAATACACTTTTGGAGTATTCGAGAGCTCTTTCCGGTGCATGCGCAAACCCACAAATCTCCATAGAGATTAGTTCAACAATATGTCCGACGACGCCGTGAGAAAGACAGAAGGCGTAGGAGAAAGAACGGCGATCGTCTGTTGAACTACCCATTCTCCTTTCGTTTTTCTGTCTTTGACATTTTTAGACCGAGGCACAGTCCTCTCTTGTGTGTTACTGTTAGCTTTCGTTCAACGAAAGTTGGCTGCATTGCAAGACTTAAATGAAAAACAAAAGGGAACAATCTGCAATTTTGAGTTGTGATTGTTTTATTATTTAGGTATATTGACAGTTTTATAACGTACTAACAAATTCATCATGGGGGATAAAGGCGGCAAGTCGGATATGGACCGTGTTGGTCTGTTTCAAGAAATGACATATGTCACTATTGGAGACAAGTATAAGCCTGCTGGACAAAGTAAGTTAACATTTACTTATTTAAATGAATTAACACAACGAGGAGTTGCCTAAGTTTTAGATAATAACTTTCATACGTAATTCAATTATATTTTGTATCAGACACTATTTATTGCTATCTCTGAATTATGCTCTATGTTAACGTCACCCTTTAAACCTAATACAGTAGTCTCCGCCTAAGATCCCACCGCTTACGATCCTGATTCGCTTAAGATCCCGCTGTTTTAAGAAAAACAGAATTTTTACTATACAAAAGTCACCCCTAAGATCCCGCTCTGATTCACTCTGAAGGTCTACATTCGGCTAAGATCTCGCATAATTTGCGGAACAAAAATCCGGGCGGAACAGCCGATCAACCAAGAGTGAAAAGTTGAGATCAATAAAAATAAACTGTCCGTCGTGTCAAAGATCAGCCACTATTGTGAATCTGATCTCATACATGTTGTAAACTCGATGAAGCGATACAAAGTAACAATGTTTGCCCCTGACGGCATCACATTGGGGTGTGAACTGGCCGACACGTTTGTTTTCCCCGAACATCGCACTCACACCTGAGCTCTCCCCCTAAACTTACATCACTTGCTGGGTGGGTAGGGCCTACACGTTTGCTCCAGGCAAGATCACATCGAACTGTGAACTCTTCCCTGACCATTGCAGAAGTTGTTTCTACTCCCGAATTTGCTGGACAGACTGAATTTTAATTGGTGTGTTACAATGTAACGGTGTGTAATAACAAAGACGGTTTGGGGTGGGGGGGGGGGGGACTCCGTCAGAGATGGAAAGCTATACATTTTCGACGGGTATTGGGGAGGGGCAACTGGATAAGCGTAGATCTTAAGACTCATGATAGGATAATAAGTGAAAATGGCACGCCTCATCCCACTATGCACTGTGATAGGTCATCAAGGTTAACCACTCTTTGCTCGTCATACGTCATAAACCCACCAAGCGGTCACGTCAGTTCATTTTAGAGTGGAGGGAGACCATTTTACCGATTGTGAGCCTTAGCATGGGTCACCATAGATTCTTCCCTGGGTTCATCGGTTAAGATCCCGGTTCGCCTAAGATCCCGCATTTCCTTGCTCCCGAGCACCGGGATCTTAGGCGGAGACTAGTGTATTTGTATTCTTGAGCCACTCTTTGTTGTCAGATATTAACAGATAAACCTTTAATACCATACATAACGCTGACACTTCTTCCATAATTTCCATGTGAGGTACATGTTCTCCCTTTGCATTGATGTCTGCCAATTGTTTATTCATATACTGTTTTTTCATAAGTATATTGATTTATGGATTGAAGTGGTGTTTAAGTTAAGGTGTGCATGTTGGCTCATTATATGAGTGTACTGTCACTGATGTGGGGTGTGTGGGATGCCTATTTTCATCTTCTTTTTAAATTCATTGTAGTTGTTTATTTACCAATAAGCAATTTGAAAGGGAGCAGTAGAAATTAGAATGAAGCATGCTGGATATGCAGTGTCCAGTTTGGTGTAAATAGTTAATAAAAACTGCTTGTCGTATCAGTCATATCAGTCCGCTCATCTCATCTACAGGTACATTCAATGATGCTGCAGGGAAAGGGAAGCAGATGCTTCCTGGGGGGAGCAAAGATAAGAGTGCACGACAAGATGGATACTTTTCGGAGAAATTCAATCGTGTCATGGATGGTGAGGCATACAGTGATCCTGTCAAACTGAGGAGACGTTACAGAATGGCTGAGGCAAAAAAGAATTTATCTAAAGCCTTTTTGCCAACCAATGGACAAAAAGCAATGTAAGATTATCAGTTTATAGTTTATACATTGGTCAGAAAAAGTTGCTCTCACCTTATTTAAATTGATCTCTTCTAATTCCATGGAATAGGGTATTTATCTCGCTTGCTAGAGAATGTGGTCATGACAAATAAGAGTTTCGTAAAGAGTTTGGAATGTGTTGGACCACTGTCAGCTGTAACAAAACTGTCACGTCAGGTTGATACGGAGTGAATTAGATGGTTGACAATGGGGATCTTGGTCTTACCCCAGGTCTATGTGGGGGCATGTTCCAGATTCTGTGTTGTTGTAGACAGTGACCATTCCCTTTGCAGTTTGTCTTTGAAAAGCTTAACTGGTTTGAGATCTTGAATTAAAAATATTCTTTTTTGTTTTGTTCTAATGACTTAAACTTCACACCCTTTATGCTCTGTTTCAGCAATCTGTGTGATTTTTGTAACAAGATCACTGGTTCTTACCTATACATGTAGTGAGCTTGTTTTGTTCCCAGCCTACAGTTTAACCAGTTGCTTTTTCTCTATAAGGGACACACTGTTATGACTTTGCAGTTGCTTCAAAATGCCTGCTTTTTTAGAAAGAGTACATATCAGTGCCTTTATCACCCATGAAGGCAGAGTACCTCTCAAAGAAAATGGCAAACCTGCGGGGGAGGGGGGGGGTATGCATCTTCAGAGCCCCTGCAGTGTGACAATATTTAGAACTCTCAATTTTGGCACACTGTTGGGCTAACTCAAACTCTAAGTAGGGTACAACTTGTTGTGTTCAAGGTTATGGTTGAAGTTTAACCAACTTTTACCCCTCCCTCCACTCCCCATGTCTGTATTCTTTCGTTGTAAGGTGTAGTGAGCATCTTCTATGATTTTGTGGGAGATGAAAGTGAAATACATGTAGTGGGTCTCTTGCTGTCATCCTTTTCGCGTACTGCCTGTTCACACAGATATTTATTTCAGGAATGGGCTTGGCACATTTTTTGGAACTATAGGAGGGAATGTCAAAGCTTTTAGCCCCGTCTCTAAAGGAGGTGGATCTGGAAAGAATCCTCTGAAGAACGTAATGACAAATCCTGGTAAACGAGGAACAGGCTATGGGTAAGTCAGACATCATTCATTACTCCGACATTTTTCTTGTTGCATTTTGTCTTTTAACAGAAAAATTTAATTTAGGCCCTTCAGCAGTAATAGGCCTACTTGTCCAATGATGAGCATCTCCTCGTCTTGGAATTTCTCTTTGTAACGAATTTCTGGTCTCTTGTTTACCAAAACTTGAGCTAAGATCCATATACAATCTTTTTTTCAGTTTAAGTAAGAGTTTTACTGCACTTGCAACTCAATATGAGTTATATGAGTACTGCAGATTAGAGGTGTTGCTAGATAATAATATAAAAAGAAAAGATGAAAGAGAGATAAGAAAGATGTTTGTCAGGAAAGAAGGAGCAAACCACAACAGAGCATCTGCCGACCACCCACTCAACCTTGAGTACTTTATGATTCAATGATTCACACACACACACAAAACAATCACTTCAGTGTTTACAAGGAGAATTTAATTTGAGCAAAATAAAATCTGACGAAGACTTTCAGGGGCCCTTTTACATCATTTTGGGAGTTTTCTGCTCAATCTGACCACCCTCTATGAATCAGCAAAACCAACCACTATTTACCCAAGTGTACTGAACAATGGTAGAACGTCTTACCTCACTGATAGCCTACTTTCCTTTGTACGGAAAATGGAGGTAAATAGCTCAATCGGGGTTGGGAAAGCCTCTGCTAGAGTGCAATAGAAACAATCCTTTGTGGTCTGTGCAATTATTTTCTGGAAACTGTCATCCCAGCCCATTCTCCATTCATTTACCCCAATTTGCATTTCAGTGGACTGATGCAGACGCCCCCATCACCCTGCCCCCCCCCCCCACCCCTTTTCCAAAATTCCCCTGTGAAGTGCAGATGCATATCAAGTTAAAATTTTTTCATGATCATATGAGCTGTAATCTGGAAAAAAGTATGAGTTTTGTTTCCTGTGATTGGTTGCAGAATAAGAGACGGAAAAACAGCCTTTTAGAAAAGGTTGAAATTTTGCTTTCTCAGTTTTACTCCAGGATTGTTTGTAGGATTGGTGAGGAAGATAAAGAGCAGAAGAGAGGAACAATTTGGAGGAAGAGAGTGAACACCTCATTAGATCCTTAAATCTATGTACAGCTCTTAAATACATTCAAAGATTTAGATGCATATTTAAGGATCTAAGGTACTGTACTCTCTCTTCCTCTAAATTTGGTTGACTGTAAGGTGTTGTCCTTGAAATTGAAAGGTTATGCTTTGCTAAATAAGATGTTGAAGCCGTTAAAGAAAGGTACACATGATCTGTGTTCCCCATTCTCTACTCTTTTGTGCTCAACTCTCCCAGGTGCAGTTGCGTACTTAGCGAACTTTTGCAACACAGTGTTCCTTTGATGCTAATGAGTCATGTGAGCACTTCATAGGCAGGGACACGAACCTGTAGCAAACAGTTGATAATAAATAATAGTAATAAATGACATTTATATAGCGCTCAAACCCAATTAAAGTACACAGGCTCTGAGCGCTTTACAATACAGTACAACATACAACAGTAACATGAAACGTTGTGTTCTGACTAATAAAAATTATTTTAAATATTCATCTTATTAATTTAAAAACAGAAACGACTTCAGCTGACATTTGAATGAATCAAAAGATTTGATTTCTCTCAAAGTACTTGGTAAAACATTCCTGATCTTGGGGCCTTGGTATTCAAATGCCCTTTCACCCATTGTTATAAGTTTCATAGATGGTAAAATAAATTTCTTTTTGACAGCTGATGACCTTAAACTGCGAGTTGGAATGTACAGTCTTAACAGATTTGATAAATATGATGGTGCATTATCATTCAAACATTTGTGACATAGGGTGGCCAACTTGTACACAATCCTTTTCTCAACAGGAAGCCAATGCAAAATTCGTAAAAGAGGTTTAGCAGAGTCTCGCTTTCTTTTCCGTAAAACTAAACGTGCAGCATTGTTTTGGACAGTTTGAAGTCTTAACTTTCTCCAGTGATCATTGTTACTTCTAGTATGTACTTCTTGTGAATCAGTGGTGGAATTGTAAAAGGTCTTGATCAATTATGTATTTTCTCTTGACCTGATTTGATGATCTTTCAGATATGTCGCTGTTACCCTGGGCAAATATCCTAACTCTGAAAACATGGCAGATCCCTATGATAATGATAAACAGATTTACCGGGTTTGTGACACTGATGTCTTATTCATTCCTCGAATGCTGTTTGGTTTGCACCTCTAAAGGCACTTTACTATACTGCCTTATCAAACTGCCTTGTGCCTCTAGGATGTGATGCAATTTTTTCTCTTGTTTTCCACAACTTATAATCTTCAAGGAGTATAGAGTTGACATTTTCTCTTCAATTTTCAGTGCTCTACTAGATGTACACACACGAACACACACACACACACACACACACACTCACACACACACACACACACACACACTCTCTCTCTCTCTCTCTCTCTCATATGTGCACCCACACACACACACAAACACACATATACACGCAAATGAACCCCCAAACACACATATACAAACTCCCAAGCACACAATCAGCAGAGACACACACACACACATACACACACACACACACACACACACACACACACACACACACACACACACACACGCACACATTCATACACAGACACACATACACACATTCACACTTACATACATATATAAATATATATTTTAAAATAACCTGTAAAGGGTTTTTTCTCTCTACTGTGCTCACATACCAATGACACAAGTCATTTTGATAAGGCATTTTGATTATTACTGCATACTTTTTTTTTGGTTTTTTTTTTTGAGCTTGCAAAGTGTGATCTACTTACTAACCTTTCATTCCTAGTCACAGTTCTGTTTTGTTTTGATTAACTATAAAACGATGATGTGTGTTGTTTGCAGCTGACAAGCAGGAGTCTGTCTTTTTAGTTCTGTGTTGACCATTAGCTGGCAAGAAATAATAATATGCTGACAGGAAGATTCTTCTTCTTCTTCTTCTTCTTCTCCTCCTCCTCCTCCTCCTCCTTCTCCTCCTCCTCCTCCTCCTCCTCCTCCTCCTCCTCCTCCTCCTCCTTAGCACGGACATCTATGATATATTGGATAAGCTCTTGGCCTTGCGGAAGACTAGAATTTAAAGCTCATGTGATGAAGGTAATTTATCTCATACCACAATTTTTCTGCTGGGATGCTGCATCCGGCTCAGCCTGGGTTGGCCCTGATAGAGGCAGGATCAAAGCAGCCTGTCTCGTTTTCTTTACTTTTCCTTTATTTTTCCGATCCAGCGGCCATTTGGGTTCCTGCCCTTTGGCCTGTCGATATGGCAAAGAATTTACAGGTTTTAATCAGCTGTGCTTTGTCGCTGTATAGAGTATTTCCAATGTCTGGGGAGGCAGGTAGATAGGTGCTACGCAGGTCGCTAAGTGCAGGGCAGGTAAATAGGTGGTGTGGTACTGTTTCATCCTGACAGTCGCACAACGGGTAGTCGGGTGGGGTATCCTTGCGGATCCTATTAAGGTAGGAATTTAGTGGGATGTGTTGTGTTCTATTCTATTCAGGGAATTTAGTGCATCTTTTCAGCCTGTCTCCAAAAAGATGTAGAGATAGGTTCATGGGGGAAAAAATCCAAAAGAAAGACATTTGTGAGGCAGCGTGGTGGAATCAGGCTCACGTCAAAATAATCAAAGTGAAGAAACTGGCTTTTTTCTGCTGATTTGTGAATTTTTATCAAATTTTTGTTTTTTGGCTCAACACCTTTCATGCCCATTAAAGAACTCATTTCTGTGTGGATTTTTCTCAAAAACATCAATTAAAGGCACAAAAATGTAAATTTTCAGTTTCCACGGACTCTAAAGCTAAGGAAATAAATAATCTTTGACGACCATTTTGTCACCTATTTTACCTCTGAAAACAGGGGACCCCAACCTCCTTCTTTGGCAAATATCTTGACTTGTATTCAAGATAAATGAATATTTTTTTCATCAAAATAAACGCAAGTGAACAAGCTTTAAGATGATACCAATAACTCTACATGTCCAAAAATTGACAAGAGCCTGATTCCACCACGCTGCCTCACATTTTCTATCACGGAAAACCTGTTTTCGAATAAAATCCAAAGAGATTAGAGAATTAGGTCTATCATCATCTATCACCAATACCTTTCACCCCTGGCAGGGTATAGGCCACATACAAGCTCCTCCCATATATATCTGTCCCAGCCATCTTTTCAAGCTCGTTCCAAGTGAGCTATCTTTCTCATGTCCCTTTCCACATGTCTCTTCCATGTTCCTCATGGCGTATCCCTGCCTCATGCTCCTTGTGGGTTCCACTGCAGCGATTGTCTTGTGATGTTTCTGCTAGGCTATCTGAAGGTGTGTCCCATCCATCGCCACTTTCTTAGTCCTATTCCTACTTCTATATCCTTTTTGTCCTGTCCTTTCCCACAGCTCTTCTTTCTTATTCTATCCTGCCACTTAATTCTTAAATTAGGTCTATGGCAGGTCATATGTGAAAAAAAATTAGAATAAAAGACTGCTGTGATAATGAATGTTTCTTAATTTGCTTTTGATTTTTTCCCCTAATGTTTGCAGGTGTGCTACTAACTTGTGCCAAGTTGTGACTTAGCAGCCTCTATGCCTTCCCTCTCTAGATGAATTAATTTAATTAACTATTTTTACTTTATGTGTGTGTGTGGTGTGTGTGCCAAGCTTTTCATCCGTCACTTTTCTCTTTTCATCTGGTGTGTTTGAAGCTTTGCACAAGTAGCCTTGAACCCCTATCCCCAACACGCTGCCGATGACTATAATATTGGATATAGATTACTGAAGGTTGGTATCGCAAGAGGCATTAATTTATGCAGTTTTGCCTTTTCTTTACTTTGTGCCTTAGGTAATGGTGGACATGGCGTTTATGTTGGCGTTTCCTCACATGTTGCGTCCTCAGAGGGGGGTGGGGGGGTGGGAGGAACCTCCACAAATAAATTCCATCTGTCTTTATTAACGGCCAGTATGGAAAAGCACTGTCCTACGAAGCCCCATCATCCCTTTGTTCAGATCTCTTTTTTGTGTATTTGATTACTACAAGTTTTTCTTTTTGTTACTTGTAGTATGGACAGGTTTAGTCGAAACAGAATCTATTTAGGTGAAAGTGAAATAAAGATTGTATTAATTTAAGATAATAAAAAAAAGAGATTTCAATGTTATGATTCAAGTGAATTCTAAAGCTAACAGCTGTATATCAAAAGCACAGTAACCCATGCTTTACATTAAATATGTGTGTGTGTGTGTGCGTACGTGTGTGTGTGTGTGTGTGTGTGTGTGTGTGTGTGTGTGTGTGTGTGTGTGTG